CTGCTGGGTAACCAAAAAAAATACCACCACCCTAAGAAACAATAACATACCATACCTAAAGAGGAGATTTTCCTTTTCTACTGTCACTACACTATTTATTTCAGTATCTTAATGGAAAAAAAAAAAAGATGAACTGTTGCATACCTGCAGAGAGAGTTCTACAAAAGTTCTATTTGCACTACTAAAATTAGCTTTTTGTGTGGCCTGATTTCGCCTCCTAAGACTGTTAATTCTTGCAGAGGTTTCAGTTTTCAGATTTTAATAATAAAGCAAAACTAATATTGAAAGAGACTTCTTCAGTAATGAACATAAACAAAACAAAAATAGATAGAACAGATTAAGATGAGATATAAAATGTTTATGTGCACCAGGGTCTGCTTGTGTATATGTCAGTACACAATTAATGAACATATTTCTCAAAACTTACACAACAGAGTATCGTGCAACTGCATTTATTCTACATATTTTGTTCACTGGTTGAACAATAAAGGAGCGTTAAGAATTGGAATATTTGAGACTTCAAGATTTTGTTGAATAACATCACAAGATGGAGCATTCTGTCCTTAAACAAGCATATTAAAAAAAATACTGTAATGTACTCTGTACATACGGAACTCTCTGTCCTTGTAGCTATTCCAGAGAAAGAGATTATAGCAGATTTATGCAAGCCTTTATGATCTGAAACATAATGTACTTTGCAACTGCAGAGCAACAGCACCACTCAGTGGAACTATCAGATAAAACAATGTTGGTAAAGTCAAAGGTAGCTTATATACACAGAAAAAAAAAATCCTGCTAATTCTGTCAAAAAGCTTTCTCAGGAAAAAAAAAAAAAGTGAAAAAACCTCCTTGCATTAGTTCGAAGTACAGAAACTATAATTACAAATTCTATCCTTAGTATTGCTTATTCACTAACTCACTTTCCCTCCACATACCATTACTAACTTTTCATTACTATTTTATTTCTTTTCCAAAACTAAAATTTATCATTCCAAAAATGAAACTGCATGATCATAAACAAAACCTCTAAAATTTGGGAGATAGTGTTTTTAAACTTATTTTACAAATGTTTGTGCAAAGTTAAGTAACATGGAAAATGCAAGATCAGGCACACACTCACATAAGACATTTTTTTTTTTTTTTTTTTTACTTAAAATGATGAGCACTGAAGTTTCTCTCTTTCATTAGCAAAAGATAGAAAAGATGTGTTCCATACAAGCTGCTGACAGCTAAATCACTTCAAAACAGAGAATGCTAGCTAGGGAACTTCAGAAATTGGAAACAAACCCAGAAATTTTGGAATGTTTTGTATTCTTGTGTGTATGCTTGTGTGGCTTGCCACCATGAATTCAGACCGTGGATACAATGACTTCCCCAATACCACCACTTTTTGCTAATATACTACACCTCTGTGAAAATCAAAGAAGCAGATGTGGGTAAAGTAGCATTAAAAAGGACATATGGTCATGAATTCTACTACCTTGTATCTGTCACTAGCTTGTTTCAGGGTGCTAATTTCAATATACACCTTTGCAGTATCACTGTATTACAAAAACACTAATTTCACTCCATCGTTTAAGCCTTTGGAATCATTAGCATCTCCAGAATAACCATCACTTTTGTTTTTCTGGGGAAAAATCACTGAAGTCTGTTTGTGTAAGATCTCAGAGCACTGTTTTGTCTCATCAGCTCATGTTCCCAAATTAAATCCACACAGCTGCTCTGCACAGCTGTCCAGGGTGATGTGGCATGATTTGCTCTACAGTGGGAGTTCATGATCACTGCCATCAACAATGCTAGGAAATACTGTCAGGAGCCTCTCTTGATACTGAAGAAGTTAAGAATTTAATGTTGTACCCAAACTCTGTTCTTATAAACTAAAATAATAATAATAATAATAAATGGATTGTTTCATCTCTTTTCCTACATTTACACTGATATGAAAATTTTTTCCTGATACCAAATCCTTCCGTGACCTTCAGCTTCGCATATTTGGAAATCCTAGAACAAGCAACTACAAAACTATGTGACAGAAGCCAAACAACAAATTTAACTTACCATTAGAATTAATACTACATAATTTTCCCTACTTGCTGAAGTTGATATAACTAAGAGTAAGTAACAATGTGTGCTGAGCTGCAGAACCAAAGACGGGTTGTCTTGTGACAGCGGGGATTAAAAATGCTGAAAGAAGATTACACTCAAATACAAGGTAAACAAACCTTGATTTTTTCCTGAAACTGCTTGCAGAATGAGCAATAGATCAATGCACCTTAACTTATTCACTATTTCAGTGATTTAATGTGAGGGAAATGAGAAAGAAAGAAATAGTGAAATACAAGAAAAAGACAGCTAAGAAAGCTGTACAAACAAAATTATTAATATTACTATTTAAATACAGCCAGCTAATATTTAGGTTAAAGGATTTTTATATTAACTAGAAATAGAGTAAGAATATATCCCCTTACAACGTGGAATGCATTGTGTTCCAAAATGGGGAAAGTAAAACAATTCCAAGTTTCTAAATCTAAATGTGAAATTAAAGCTATACTCTTCACAATTGCTTACTATTCTCAAAAAAAAAAAAACAGTTTAACACTTTTTCTATGATTTGTTAGATGGCTATTAGCAACATATCTTTAAATTTCCAGCCAGATAAAAAAACAGTAAAGAATGCAAGATAATACATTTCCATGTATTTTATTCATAATCATGTATGAATGACTTTAGATTATTTTTTTTTTTTAGCTCCCCAAAAAAACTTATCTGCTTCTCACCCTGTCCCAACAAGCAAATCCGCTGGGGATGGTAAGAGATCGGGAAGGGATACAGGCTGGACAGCTGACCTGAACTGGCCAAAGAGATATTCCACATCACAAAATATCATGCTCAGCAGTAACGTGGGGAGTGAGAAGGGCTTCAAAAGTAGCCACTGACTGGGCACTGGCCTGCTAGGTGGTGATTGCCTTTGCATCACTTTTTCTCCTTGCTCCCATTTTTCTTCACTTACTAATTTATCTCAACCCATAAGGTTTTCCTCACTTGCCCTTCTGCTGAAATTCCCTGGGGGATGGAGGTGAGCAAGTGACTAGGTCAGGGCAGAACTGTTAGCCATGGTCAACCCACCACAGTCTTTTTTGTTGCACAGCTTGGGGCTCGAGGAGTTCAAGTTAACAACAAAATTGATTGGAGTGTGCTAGGTGGAATTTATAGTTGTTATACCTGTTCAGCTGTTACTTCTCATTTCTGGTCACAACAATTTATTTGCTTTCAATACTGCTTCATTTGTTCACTTAATTGCTCCATGGCATGCTCGTGTTGTACATCAAATTTCAGGGCTTGTTAATGGCTACTTTCAGCATGCTGCAGTTCACTGTGCTGTTTATCACTTTGCTTTGTTTTGCCCGAAAAAGCCACGATAAAAGCACTGTCCTTGAGCGTAATCTGGTATTTGGGCCCTGCATTGCTCTAGTATCCTCTGGGGTCTATCTGCTCCTGTGTGACTTGATTCACAGGCCAGTTTCTGTAAGAAAATACCCAACTGCTCTGGTGTCAGGTCCTACAGTTGCTATAGCGTGGACATCTGCTCCAGCACAGTTATGAAGCATTTTTACTACAGTGACAGCACCACATGCTGACCACCATTTTTTTAGGTTATCCTCTACAAGCAGAAGGAACTAAGTCAGAGAACTTCACTTTGAACTTCAGTAAAGTTTCTGTGCATCTTATCTAAATATGCCAATCCAAAAATTTGATGTTTACAATAAACAACAACAAAGTGTTAACACTCTCAGAGAGAAAGATGCTGAGTTAAGGTTTGAGTTTTTAATCTTACAACATTAAAGTATTTTGAGTATAAAGTGCTGGACAAACTGAAGATTTCAAATAATTTTTTTTTTGAGAATGCAGCTGTTACTACTTAGTCTCTGTTTGATTGTTTAATGAGGATTCTAAGTCTGAAAAATTCCAGCAAATTGTAAATCCCAGTATGTTTCTTCTTTAACCTAGTCATGCATCAGCCTGGAGAAGAGAAGGCTCCAGGGAGACCTTATAGGGGTCTTCCAATACCTAAAGGGGGCCTACAGGAAAGCTGGGGAGGGACTCCTTGTCAGGGGGTGTAGCGATAGGACAAGGGGGAACAGCTTTAAACTAAGAAAGGGGAGATTTAGATTACATATAAGGAAGAAATTCTTCACTCAGAAGGTGGTTATGCCCTGGGACAGGTTGCCCAGAGAAGCTGTGGGTGCCCCATCTTGGCAGGGGGGGGTGGAACTGGATAAACTTTAAGGTCCCTTCCAACCTATTCTATGAACCTATGAAAATGACCTTTAAAAAAGTGCATTTAAAAATACACTTTACTACAATTCTAATTTACACTTTTGGTCTTTTAGTTCACTAATAGAATCATGTTAGCTTTAAATTTCATACAAGTAAATAAACCAATTTATTTATTTTGTAAATAAGCCACAGACCTCAATGCTTGTGAAGTTTAGCCCTTTATGAGGGAAGGGCACCTCTAGCACTCCCTAATGATCCCTTCTCACAGATGATTACTGTACACACATAACAATCATGGCAGTTTGCTACATTACTGGTGCTAATGCATATAATGTCCACATTTATGGGAATAGGAAATAACATTTAAGGTCTCATGGGAATGGATCCCATTGTCCCTAGCTGGAAAATTGCGCCTGCTTCCACCTGCCTACCAGGAAGCAAACAGCAACTAAAATATCTGCAGATACCAATCCTGCCAGTATCACAACTTTTTGATTTATGACTATTTTTGCACGGTTCTAGTTTTCTAAACTGGACACGTAACCATATCTGGAATCAAGTGAGCAGTATGTATAACAATAAAGAAGCATACATACTACACATGCATGCACATTCCTTGAATAACACTTAATTCCTAGGACACAGATTGGTTCTTGGGGAACTTTAAATGTGTTCAGCATTTAAATATTACAAAACGAGCTTTCGTCACAGTAATGCATTACCTGGTAAACTAGTCTTCATGACATCAACACCAACTTGGAGCTCAGGCTCAGCTGCAAGAACTGCATAATCCCCTTGATGAGAGACATTGAAGTTGTAATTCGAACAGGCACTGAGTATGGCATTTGCCAGGAATGGTTTTCCTTTTGATGTCCTTTCCAGGTGTATTTCATTCCAAGGTATGCACAGCTTTTCTGCAATTAATTTCCGCATCAGCAGGCGACCAGCCTATGAAATAAAACAGAAGTGATTCACACAGAACTATTATGTTATGTATGAGGTATTTGTGGTTCCTAGAAAATCACTTGCCTAAAAAGAAGTATGCTTTTACTATTGCACAGAGAAAATGAATATGTTTATGCTAAATCATTTAGGCTTTTCCCTTTAATGAAAGCCCTTGCCATATAAACTTAACCAAATCGAAAAACATTTCACCAGACCTGATTACACAACATGTTTGCTACCACTGTTAGCACAGAGATAAATAAGGCCCAATATAATGTACTTTCAGCCTAGACAAGTGACATAAAATTGTTCTTTTTTACTTAAGATACTTTACTGCGCACGTGAATACCTTTTATCCCACACTGAACAGTTAAACTCTCTCAGCTTTCTTTTCAGCACATTCAGTTACTTTGGTGCACAGACAAAAGTGATGAGTAACTGTTTATAGGGTAAATAGCAAAAGACTGCATTACTGCCCCACTCTTACGTAAGATTTTAAATCTGAATTGATTATGCAAAAAACTCTGGATGAAACAGCTTTTTTCTTTTACAGATCACACTACGACCGTCTTCGTGCAGAATTTCCTAGAACTTGCTCATATTTTCTTGACTCAGAGGGTGGTGAGGCCCTGGCACAGGCTGCCCAGAGAAGCTGTGGATGCCCCATCCCTGGAGGTGCTCAAGGCCAGGCTGGATGGGGCTTTGGGCAACCTGGGCTGGTGGGAGGTGTCCCTGCCCATGGCAGGGGGGTGAAACTGGGTGTTCTTTTAGGGTTTCTCCCAACGCAAACCCTTCTGTGACATGGTGACCTTACCTCCCGAGGGCCATAAAACTTGTGAACCTTTCAGAGTAACTACTCGTAGCAGAATGCTACCACCCTCTTAACCCAACCTGCACCGAGAGCTGCCAATTAACGACTTCTAACCCCTTGCCCGCCCTGACGTGACCCCGCGGGTCCCATTTCTTCACAACCAGCCCTGCCCACGGCCCCCCCGGACGAGGCAGCCCCCGGCGCCCCCCGCCCCGTTCCCTGTGGTACCAAGGCGGCTTTGGCATCGCGGGCGAACACCAAGCGCCCGATGCGCTCCTTCTCCTCGGGCTGCACCAGCCGCGCCGCCAGCAGCCACTCCTCGCGGCGGGGGCGCCAGGAGGCGCAGGGGAAGGCCCAGCGCACGCCGCCCATCACCCCTCGGCCGGGACCGCCTCAGCGCGACCCCCCCCTCACCCGGGGCCCCCTCAGGAGGCCCCGCCGCGCTCCTCACGCCCCCCCTTCCCTACCCGAGCGGTCGGTGGGAGGGCCCAGCTGGGCAGCTGCCAGGACCAATCCGATGCTAGAAAAGCCTTGAGTGACAGGGGAACGGGCCAACCACAGGCTGATCAGAGAGAAGGAGGCTGGGCGGTGATGCCAGAGCTCTAGCGGAGGGTGGGCGGGGTTTTATTCTGATTGGCAGCCCACCGAGCCACTCCGAGGGAGCGACCGCGGAGAATGACACCGGAAGGAGCCAATCCGCTGACGGGGCTGCCGCCGGGGGGTGGGCCAGAGCGGGGCGGCGAGCTGCTGGTGGCGGCTGCAGGTGGGTGCGCGCTGTTCGGCGGGGAGCGCGGAGGTGGGGAGGGGGGCAGCTCCTCGCCGCTTCCACAGGGGCAGCGGCGGCACCGGGAACCGCCACGTCCCGGAGCCCGCAGTCGGGCTGCAGGAGGAAAAAACGGGCCGGCAGGATGAGTCCTCCCTTAGAATGAAGGGAGGCGGTGCACGGCGCATGCGCGGGCGGGTGGGTGGGCATGCGCAGTAGCGGCGCTGAAGCCGCTGCCCGCCCCTGACGGGCGGGGCGCTGTGAGGGCAGGGGCAAAGACGGGACCGGGGCCGGGGCCGGGGCCTCCTGGGGCCGTTGCTTTGGGTCTCTGGGGGGCGGGAAGGGCTGAGGTGGCGCCGCCAGCGGTGGGGCCGTTTTGTTGCCCTGGGCTGCGGATTGGGGGCCTCAGGGCAGCGGGGAGCCCTTCTGGGCACTGTGCCTGTGGCTGCGCCCATCTGTGCTGGCCGTCAGGTGATAAATAAAAGTAGCAAAGGGGTGTTAGGTCAGGCGTTTCGTAGAATCTGCCGTTATTCAGCACCCCAGCTCACTCTAACGTGAAAAGGAAAAAATGTTATTTTGCCCCAGGCCGGGTGATGTGTTGTCTTCCTGCCCAAAATAACCCCAAGCATAACTGCACGCAGGTTGGGCTCTGCAAAGTGTTTTAAATGCTGTAGTAACAGCTGGGGAAAAAAGTGTCTGAGCGAGGCATCAGCGGTGTCATTTGTTCCTTCTCAAATGTGATTCCCATTCTTCCCCTTGACTTAAGCAAGGGATGTCATACCCACTCCCTTGCGTGCTACTCACAGTGACACAGAGTGAAATGACAGCAGAGGAGGATTTAGTACAGTCAGAAAACGCAGGAAAATGCTGCTTACGAATACTAATTTGTATCCGACTCTTAACATTTCGACTATTGCATTCGGCACACTTTAAGGAGGAAATAGTGGCCTTATCAATATTCACTTAATGACTTGTTATATCTAATGGAATAGGGATCTTACCTAGTTCAAAAAAAAACCAACTCTCAGGTCTGATTAATAAGTGTGACTTGTCTATGCTTTCTAGGTATACAGATTAAAACATATACTTTTTAAAAAAAGTAGCTTATTTAATGAAAATTTTTAAAAACAAGCATTACACATAAGCGCAGACTGAAGTTTGAGATGCACATCATGGTGTGTAAGATAATGATGAGTAATTCGATATAAAGCCACATTTTGATTAGAGGTAAAATAGGCTAGAATCATAAATATGCTAAAATATCCTATAAATGTGTTCAATATTGCATGTACTCGTTGAAAATAAAAACTTTTTTTTTAATCATATACAGAAATTAAGAGACTAGAAAACCCAGTAACAGTAAAAGCAGCGATTTTTTTCTCTTCCAGAATTTGCAGTTATTACTTTTGCCAGAATTAGAAGTACAACGTTGCATTTTCATTCCTTTTTTTTTTTTCTGAAAATGAAAATTATGATTCTTGACCTTTCTTATCTGAAAATAATTTACAAAGGAACCTGATGATTTTAATAAATCTAGCTACAATAAAATCCAAGCAGTTTGAGTTCTCCTGATTATTTTTTTTTTGTCTTAATGGATTTATGTGTTTGTGAAAGGATATGCAATTACAGACTGCTGCTTGCAGAGAGGGAATCTTCCACATTGGGAATGTCTGCAGGAACCAGTGCAATTTCACTGCTTCCTGCTGGTACCATGCTCTTTCTTCTTCTTTTTTTTTTTTTTTCTTTTCATGCTGGTTTTTTTTTCAGTCACTTCTAAAGAATTCAAAACTCTGTGTCACCTTTTCTTCTTACAGTACTGTTTCAGTATGTTTTATTGATAAATGCCACTTTTTTGTGGAGTAAATGTCTCATAATGTCACATGCATCTTTTTTGATTGTCTGAAAATGATTGACTAAGTATTAATTTTCTGCGATGTTCACTTATTTATGAAAAAGCTGTGAGACTGAGTTGCACTGAATTTCCAAGACAGGAACCTGGAATTCTGTTACTGTTTGAGACCTTAGATAATTGATACAGTGGAGACAAATAATAATAAAATACAGAAATACAGAACTTTCTACTTAGTATTTATACTTCAATTTTCTTTTAATCCATTCTTGCCTGTACAGTCAACAATTAGAAGAGTTACCAAAGGTACCCTTTAGACACCTGTTCCATTCATTCTCATCTTGTTGAATCAGGAGCTGTTAAATTAGATGTGTAGTGGGAAGCCGTGTGTTTAAAATTTGACAATAAATTATTAATTTCTCCCCCTTTGAATAGATCAGGAGTGAAAACAGCAAATTGTCTTAATAACTATGTAGAGTACTTGAAATATTAAAAATAAATTTTAAAATATTAATTTAAAATATTGAACTTGACATACTGAAGCTCCTGAGATTTTATAGCATTCTTACTACACTAAAGAAGTTGGAAGTTAAGAGCGAGTATTTTTTCAAAACTTACACTTTCTGTACAGTTAAATTTTGTATTAGCAAACTAAAGCCTCCTCGCAAAAATGAATAGAGTTTCTTTATCTTCATTGTCTCTCTTCCTAGGTACATAAAGTATTCTGTAAAATACCAGCATTTACAATCTCTCTTTTTAAAACCCTTTTGTCTAGTAAGACATACCAACCAAGTTGGGAGCAGGTGAGGTGACAAAGGCTGCTCGTTTCTCATGAGATAGTTCTTATAGGTTAAGAACTATTAAGAAATAGTATCTTTTTTCTTCTTTAATTTACAGAGTGTTGTATAGAGAGTGCTGCAGCACAGTGATATTGTGCTTTGAGATAAAACAGCTGAAGGGTGCTTTACAGTTTTTTGTTAACCTTTATTTGGTACTTCAGTGGTGAGTTTAGACTGTTTCGGATGTGTGCATTATTGGAGGAGAGAACATCTACACGGAGAATGTTATTTGTGCTGTGTGAATGCATTGGTCAAGTAAAATTGGTGTCCAATGTGCTGGAACAGTCTCGAGCTTCTGTTCAATTGCAGAGGTTCAGTCATGTTTATTGTCAGGCAGGCATGGCCCTGGCATGTTTTTTTCTCACAAAATGCTAGCTTAGGCACAATATTTATATATGTTCTAAACTTTCACAAAACATCCATTTGGCTATTACAAAGTTGGATATATTTCTATATAGATTTTTATTTTACTATTATAAATCATCATAAGAGTTTGGTGTTAGTCTCCTCCAGCGTTACTTTGTACCATGTCCTCCTCATCTGGGTGTTCGTGCTTGATTCTTACTATGCGTGCCTTCATCCTTTCCTTGTTTAATAATGTTACCTCTGTTACCCACATAGAACAGCACATCTCATACCATTCTCATCTTCGTTAGCACAAAATGTAACTAACCACTTTATCTGTTAGTCACAGCATCTAAGGCTATCTGGGCTGTCGGTTCAGTAAGTAAATGCAGGTACTTTCTATGGCTATGTTCTGATTGTTATAACTGAAGTCTCAACTCAGTCTGAATTTAGTAATATTCATAAAAGGAATATTCATAAAAAGTATAAAAGGCAAGTAAACAGCGCTGGGTGTGCGGGGAGTCTACGCTCCACCAACACGCACACACGAACATCAGACTTTCTAAATATACAGAACATTGCTTTACATACTAAACCCGAGTATGTACAATCAGGAAAGGTAACAAACAATCCTTTAAGTTCCATGACTTAACAGTCTCCATTTTCCATTCCATTTGAACAATATGTCTTGCTTTAAATTGTCAAGCAACTTGGTCTTCAGGCCTTATGTATCCCGTTCCTCCCGAATCGAAGAAAAACATCCATCTCCTTTTCAAGGCCAATGAGGCCTGGGTCAAAAGGCACATCCAGGTCATCAGGGGGCATAACAGCAAAAGCCTTTTGATGGCTGTAAGCAGAGGGGCCAATGGTGTAGGGTGCCACCTCAAATGACACCCTAACGACTGCCATTACCTTACCATCCCCACCTCCTGTTGTTCAGGTGCCTGCTGCTTTGCCTTGCTTTGTGGCCAGATATAAAATGGCCATTTCTTGCCATTCAGCTGTCAGGTGGGCAGAATGTCTCACATCTCAAGTGGAAGTCTGAACAGGCAGCCTTGGAAGGTACATATATCTTCCTGATTATGTGTTTAGGTGGGGTCGATCTTAAATAAAAATCTTTGTCAAGTGTAATTGTAGTGGACAATGGGTCACTTTGTGATGTGACTTTCAAGTGGGCAAACTTTAAGGGGGTTTGGTTTCATTTTTTAGAAAGCTGGGCTGATACTTACGGGTACACAGAACTCTGAGATTGGAAAAAACAATGATTAAATTCCCTTTGACAAGGCAGAGTGACAGCAAAGGGGATAACCATACAGTAAGAGCAGCAAATGATCAGCCATGACCAGATGGAGCCCACAAGCACAAAGATAGACAACAACCCAAGGCTCCCTTCTGTCAGGGCGTCTTCATCGAGCAGGCCATGTGGCAGGTAGCTGAAGCGTTCCTGAGCCTGTCATCTGTCCCTCCCGACCTCTTCAGGATGCATGCCATGAGTCTTGCCGTTATGGCCAGTGGTGTGTCTACCCAGTGACCAAAATGTGGCATTCATGAGTACAAGATGTGAAAACATTAAGTACGTGAGCAGAGAAGCTTTGCTGAGTGGTGGGGTACCCTCAGTCTGGTCACATCAGAGACCACATTTGGTCTCAGAGCAGGCAATACCC